GAGGCTCACGATAGTCTCGATGGCAATTGTCACAATTTCCCAAGTACGGCGTCACAGGCTTCCATCACTGGACAGGCCAATACATCAAGTTGACAGAGTTCGCGAACATGCAAACTGCAAATCGCGTGTCGTCACACACTCCACTGCGCTTAAAGAGGACAGCAGATCGTGTAATTGCTCTTCGCACAGCATCTTTGTGAATCAAGCAAAACATCGCATCATTTGGAATCAAATTTAGTTCTAAATCAACTACAACAGCCTATGAACGCGCAAACCAGTCAAATTGTGGCCTCCCACAAACGAGGGTTTGGTGATTAACTAGAGCCCTGTGGTTCAGAGGCCAGCAGGCATGCTGGGAATATTCCATGTGATCGCACACTGACCGGGCTTGCGCTCTGTCCCAGCTTCCGACTTTAGTCTCATCTTTGCAAGCAGCAACTTGAGGGACGCTACTGAATTCTCAAATAGAAACGTTCTCGCACTAGTCTGCACTGAACCACTTAATTTAATTGGTCAAATTGCATCCTGTCAGGTCTCCAAGGCATGCACTCTAACCAGTTCATCTGCACTCGCCCACAATGCAGTCCCTCTGACGTAGACATCGGCTGCAATTCACGCTGGCCCCGTGTTTGTTTATCTTGAAACAACACAGAAACCCACCGCGTTGATTTCAGTGTGTGGTAATAGTTTGATTATGTGAGTGCACCCACATAATGTGCAGATCCACTTTCAATTCAACTACTGTTCATGCCGCTATTCGTGCCACCAATTAAGCATATTCCTGTTTACCAAACTTTCTCATAGTCATCTGCACCAGCACACCCACAAACTCCCTTTGTCAGTCCAGGTAGAAAGCCATCTAGCAGCTCGGTTGGAGAAGAAGCAATGCGCGAATAAGGGCTGCCAGTAATTTGCTTATTTAAGGACCAAAACCAAATTTAAATGGTGTGCGACCGAGCGTGGTGAACAGCCTCACAGCCCGTTCGAGATCGGCAGTGGTTGGCATGGCCGCCACCGTTTCAGTGCACAGGCACTTACTTTTGGACACCAACTAATTCGCCCACTGGCTTGCACGCCCACACACGCCAACTCTCTAAACCAATCGTGGCCTTCGCCTTAATCGGAATCAACTGCCACTCTCGAGTCTGTCGTCTGTTTACACTGCACGTGGTGTTGCAGTCGCTGGCTGGCACACGCGGATGACACTCTGCAGGCAACGTACCGCACAACAACAGCCCGCGGAGCTCCTGTCCTCTCAGGTGATGTTTAGGGGGCTCGAAGAGAGCGCCACCAGTTCCGTCTTCCCTCCCTCGTTTGTTTGCAAAGGCACCTTGCTCATTAGGCCTCCCGAATGCACTAGCCGCACTTTCTGTGCCAGCTGAGGAATAAACGCACGCAATCCCTGCTTTACGGTATTACACATGCAGTTTAACCTGCGCAGTCGGTCTTTGTGTTCGCGTTTGTGGGAGTAGCTGCTCACGAGAGTATGGAAGCGGTGTGCATTGTGGGACAGACTCAGGTGGAGTGGTAATTAGGTCTGCGTACGCTTTGGGATTCGTTAAAAGAATCGCGTTACTACTTTGTACTCAAATGTTTGAGTAGAACAGGTATTGTAAAGTCGACAGGATTTACAACTTTGGAGTTTACGCGTAAACCAGTTAAATTGAGACTTCCCATAAACTAGATTTTGGTGATAAACTGTCGCCAGTTTAAACATTAACCAGTGAATGCGTGTGTGCTATTTGGCAGGGACAGTCGTGGATGGTTTCGCGCGTCGTTGGACATTCATTTCAGGTTTTTCCCTGTCTATTGTTTTATGAGTACCGCTTTGCACTTGAATTAAATTACTTACGTAACTAATCGCCGTGCTTAATATCAACTACTTTTTTCATTGCTTGTAGCAAGTTTTCGTTTCCCGAGGAGTAGTTCAAGATACACAAATTTGTTTAGGAAGTCCAGCTGTTACAATTTCAAATCCATGAAACGTGTGGGCCGCATTTAGAAAGAAAGTAATAGAACAAATTCCACTATTGAGATATCGCGGAACTGCACACGGCAATTTGGAGAAACCTAAATGCAGACTACAATAAAATTGAAAAGAATTTCTTGTCTTCTAATTCTTGGATGTTGACTGACATGTTTTGGATGGTTGTGCGTGTGATTTTATTCGATGTATCTTCCGTCTTTGTGAAGTCCAAAGTTTTGCACCCAAAAATTGCAACTGTCCGAAACGTCCAGCAACGCACACGTGTTATCCTAAACGTCAAATGTCACAACAATAAACTTTGCCTCAATACGGACTTCCCTTGTCCAACGAACAAATTGTAAGTGGCACTCCCTAAGAAGTAGAATTTAAAAAAAACGGATTAATCAAGAATTAAGTTGCCAATTTTATTCCATGGTCTATAATTGTGACTTTTTTTTTATAATGACTTAGCAGTTTGTGTTTCCTTTAATGCCTCTGAATTCCGTTTGAGACTTGTTGCGAAACTGCGTGATCTGCACTTCCGTCTGCGTCAGCCAACGTCCTCTTCTTCAACTCCTTTGTAACGCAATTGTTCGATTTATCTAACAGTTACTCTCCTTCATTTACAAATTATTATTGGAAAATATTTCTGGACCCCCGTGTTTTGTTCCCTGCAGAGACTCTTCGATGGGCCTCCAACAACCGCCCGAACTGCTGCCTACTACATCTGCTTTGCGCTGCAGGGCGTCTGCAGTGGCACGGCGATGACGCAGATGATCATCGTGCTCTCCGATTGGGTCGGTCCCGAGAGGCTGGCTAAATCCTTGGCCATAATGATGGTTAACCTTGGACTCCTCTACGTTCCCGCTCAAGCCCTAATTGGTGAGTTCTCTTTGCACGCTGCACCTATTTCTTTTTTGCATTTCTGAATTGCACTCTTTAAATGATTCTGGTAGCGCTGATGTAATACGTCGTAGATTTAGATCCTTGATGTGTTAGTGGTAGTTGACTAGTGGTATTTTGTGTTATTCTGACTAAGAACGTTTGGCAGCTTGTGTCGTTTATGTTTTATCGTACTAGGCCAGAGTAGGGACAATGTCTGTTAATGCTCTTCCTCATTGGTAGCAATCGCACGTTGACTTTCGCGATACAATGCCCCTAACGGCTTGCACGACGTGCCTAAGCATGTGTTCACACAGTCTGTGGAAGAGACAATTAGTCATAACTACCCCGTAGTGAGTTTAGAACACACTTGGTTATGCATGGATGTATGTGACCTACTATGGCAGATGATTGGTTGGATTAACTTTGGTGTGTACCCCATTGGAATGAATCATTGAGGTAGTGTAGGAAATACCTACGTGGAGTTCACACATTTTCTTTCTTGGATGCTGTACAAACCATGGGTTTTAGTGCCTAGAATTGTTAAGGATTTTTGAAACCTGAGGATATCACGGTGTTTCCACACTAATCAAGAGCCACAACTATCCGTCGGTGCAACCTACATCTTTCAATATGGAAATGTTCCTTCAACAGAGGTCGAATTGTTCTTCTCTGTGTGTCTTGGATTTCGAGATCTGTAGACCTCTAGTTGGCACTGAGGTGTCTTACTTTCGCTCACTATTCCAGTGCGACCGAAATTTGATAGGGTCCGCTGTTGGAACTGCACTGTTACTTCATAACACCAAAATTTCAGTTCATAGGACAAAGTCCGATTTTTCATTTCAGAAGCCGTTAGTAAGAAATTATTCTCTAATTCCATGTTTTAAGTTTATCTTGAACCATGGTCTAGTCTTTTGTGGCATCCAGGTTTATTGCACAAGCGCGTAATCTTGTTTTGTGTTGGTATGTAGGCAAATACTCTCCCGCACTAGCACCTCAGGCAAAGCACGCCCTAAGCTAAGGTGGGATCTCATGCTGATCGTTTTCGCTGTCCCAGCCAAAGTCCCGGCAAAATGTCTGAGTGAACAGCTTGTAGGACGTTGACCTAGTGGACTAGCGCCTAAACAAGCCTTCTGAACAAAGCAGAAAGGTTAGGTAATACAAAGGTTTGACAAATGAAGTGAAGTCGGTCAAGCAGAGGTGTGAGTTGGACAGTTACAAATCTCGAAGTAACGGAGATAATTGTCATGGGGAAGGCTGACTTCTCCAGCATTACACTATACTTGAACTCTTAAATTTTTTATATTGCCGAGCATTTCTATTAGACAGACATATTTTTTAAAAGTCGTTGTCTAACTTACTGCTTCTGCCAAAAATGGAACTCAAATATGACTCTAAACTGAGTCTCACGAGCAGTTTAAACTGATTTCTTTGTCACGAAATTTCCTAATCCACACTTTGAGATCCGTTTCGATCCATAGTAATCGGGTGACCAGCTCAAAATACCAAAATTAAACTTCGTCTCGCTACATACGACCGCCAAGTGGAATGGTGGCATTGCATTCGTAGAGGATTAAACCACCACCACCGCTTTTTTAATTTCTAGTGGAATTCACAGTGTGCTGAAATGCATTGTTACTTGTTTATGGGCCAAAGGACTTGTACGAGTTACGCCATTGGATTTGCGACACGCGATCTAAAAAATGGCTTACCATGTGCACTGGAATGTGATGAGAGGCTGGATTGTTATTTATGGTAGTTTTGCTGATAATTTTCGACCATCCAATGACAGAAAGCACGTTTTCTTGGGCCTGAAAATTTAACATGGGAATACGGTGTAGTCGTTGTGCATATTCGATAATTAAAGTGACCGTGGTTCCAAATAAGTGTGATACGGGAATTCAGCAGGTTCTTTTCTATTAACGCAAAACCATGACCCATGCCACAACGCACTCACAGTCAACGACACGAATTAGCATATGAAATTATATGTAATTTTGTTTCTCTTGATTCATTTAAAATAAAAATGGATTAACAATAGTATAGTTTCATTCATTAGTACATTAGTGCTCCAGAAGTTCCGTTGCTGTATTCCTGTAGTCGCGAAGATATAAAAATCGTAATTGCTTTTAATTAAAAGTTTTCAGTCATGATAGCACACGCGCAATCATTGGCTGGCGGTTTGAACGGTTCGCCTGAGCCTCGAACACTCTTGAGCTGTCACCCCTGTCCACTTTACAATACTTGTTCTACTCAAACATTTGAGTACAAAGTAGTAACGCGATTCTTTTAACGAATCCCAAAGCGTACGCAGACTTAATTACCACTCCACCTGAGTCTGTCCCACAATGCACACCGCTTCCATACTCTCGTGAGCAGCTACTCCCACAAACTCGTACACAAAGACCGACCGCGCAGATTAAACTGCATGTGTAATACCGTAAAGCAGGGATTGCGTGCGTTTATTCCTCAGCTGGCACAGAAAGTGTGGCTAGTGCATTCGGGAGGCCTAATGAGGAAGGTGGCTTTGCAAACAGACGAGGGAGGGAAGACGGAACTGGTGGCGCTCTCTTCGAGCCCCCTAAACATCACCTGAGAGGACAGGAGCTCCGCGGGC